GTACCGACGCTCAGTGCGCTCAACTCACACCAAAGTATCACCTGTGTACTTCTGTATATTCGACCAAATATATATATAGTATCTTAGTGTCTGTGTTTATTTGTCACCATACTTTACGTAACAATAGAACCGTTACATTGGTGACCCCAGAGAGTTTCGACGATACCCAGCCACGACGGACTACAACATGGATTCTCACTGGACCTCTACTGCTGCTGCTTGCTGTGGACCGCAGCCACCTGTCATGGAACGTTGCCAACACCCTCGCCACAGCTATGATTTTCATCGCGTCCATCTCTGCATTTTCATCTACTACGGCTTGCTGCTCCACGATCGTTACTCACTCATCTGACAGCCTCATCAAAGATTACATCATGTTGGATCTACAGCTTGTCCTGCCGACTCTCCGTCGCTGCCAGGGCACTGCTTGTCCTACGTCCACGACAACTGCTCTGTCATCAGATTCATCTACACGTTCACTGCATTTTGATACTCGGCCGACTCAAGCCCTTTGCGCAGTACAGGACTTACAGCTTGCGTTTCCGACACTTCGTCGCCTTCAGGACAATTCAACTCTAGATGTGATTACCTCGTTGTCCTAACTACGTGCCTACATTACCTCCTAATGTCCTGGTGCCCGAGCTGGTGCCATCCGCCCCGGATCTAAATGCTCCACCAACGACCCAAGGATGCAACAATTATGCACATTCTTCTCTCCTGCTACACCGAGCTTGTCCACACACTGCCTACATCTTTTGGTACCAGACTACAATTTCCACAGTCAACAATGTAGTACTCGGCGTGTACAGTCCTAATCAACCCAAGACGCTTCAGCTTCGACACAGAGCAGACAGCAGACTACGACCGCATGGAGCCGCCACGCTCTCGCTCCCCGAGTTCAGACACTCTCAATCGAGCCGCCACGCTCTCCCACATAGAGCTCCACGACTCCGGCCTCACTCAGCTCTCTGCTCCAGGCTTCGTCTCAACGTCTGCGACACTGCTAAATCCAGAGATACATCCGCCGACTACGCAGTTCACTTTTCGACCACAGTTACCAGCAGCACCGCCACCTACGACAACGGACGATCCTGTACGACCTCCCACCCTACAACCCCAGTTACCAGCCGCACCACAACCTGATCCTACGACGACGGACGATCCTGTGCGACCTCCCACCCTACGACCCCAGTTAGATGACATGAGCGAAGAGGAGGAAGTTAACTTTGATGGTTATGTAACGCGAGCAGGGCGTACAATTCACCGACCAGCTAAGTTCCTTGATCAAGTATTTTTCCTTTCATCCCCTGGGAGGGGGAGTTCTGTAGCGAGTAGATTATCCCAATAATATACTCGCTCCAAATGCTTTGTTTGGAGATGATGTTTGGAGCTCTCTGTCAACCTTTGGAGATGAATGAGGTGAGGCGTTGCCCGGGCAACACGGTGAGGTGTTGCCCGAGCATATAAGCAGCAGAATAGCAAACATTAACCATTCGGACACCATCTGGTCACCATTTGGTCCGGGAGACATCTCCCGTCACGCAGGGTGCATTCGCACCTCCACAGATCTCCAGTATCAGCTCCTGATACTGGTAATGGCTTAAAATGGCCACCACTTACGGGCTATTTATGCCCGTGCCACCTTTTGGGTGGCTTCATCTTCATCTTAACACATTCACAAGGGAGACATCTCCAGTCATGCAGGGTGCATTCGCACCTCCACAGATCTCCAGTATCAGCTCTTGATACTGGTAATGGCTTAAAATGGCCACCACTTACGGGCTATTCATGCCCGTGCCACCTCTTGGGTGGCTTAATCTTCATCAATCAATCAATCGTGTTTGACCACCATCTGGTCACCACTTGGTCCGGGAGACATCTCCCGTCACGCAGGGTGCAGTCGCGCCTCCACAGATCTCCAGTATCAGCTCTTGATACTGGTAATGGCTCAAAAGAGCCACCACTTACGGGCTATTCATGCCCGTGCCACCTCTTGGGTGGCTTAATCTTCATCAATCAATCAATCAAACATTAACCAGAGTCTACTTTCAAGTGTGGTCTAGAGCAGACACTTGCGAGATACTGTACCGACGCTCAGTGCGCTCAACTCACACCAAAGTATCACCTGTGTACTTCTGTATATTCGACCAAATATATATATAGTATCTTAGTGTCTGTGTTTATTTGTCACCATACTTTACGTAACAATAGAACCGTTACAAAATATTCTGTGGTAAGTCAAGGAATAAGAGTGGTTTCCGGGAGTAGGTACAGTATGTATTGTCCATAACAAACTGATTGGAGAAGAGACATTTTAATTTATGTAGGTAATTGCGTAGGAAAATGCAGACGTCAGACTGTTACTACCCTGGATCCAGTATTGCACTGTGTCAGATGAATCCAGGATCGTTGGCATTTGTTTACATATGATGTAGGGACCCTTCACCTATATATGTACAGTATTTTAGCGTGCTCTATTCAGATAATAATTATAATTTAACATTTATTTTGTCGGGGAACAGGAAGCCAGTTTAGTTCATTTATTATGCACCCCATACCCATCTTGTGGGCGGTAGTGGAAAGGGTTACAGAGGCACATAATGGGCTCAGGGACTGAACCTCACATTTTATTAAGCTAAGCAAGTTACAATCTTGATGAGCTAGTTACAAAATTCAATATAAGTCGTCACATCAACAATGGGTTCGAGATCGACCACAAGTACAGGTTCTAAATTAAGCAACTGGGAGTGTTCATACATGGTAGACTTATATCGAGGTCCCCCCCTCCCAAGGCCGAATTATTGACCCCGCTCAGGATGCAACCCTACAAAAAGCCGATTAATTACTGAGTACCTACTCACTGCTAGATGAACAGAGGCATTAGGTGAAAGGAAATGTAACCAACTATTTCTGTCCCGCCCGGGATTCGAACCCAGAATTCTTGATTATGCTTCGAAAACGAACCTGGAACTCTACTGTATTACTGGAACCCGACTGCACTACCGGGAGATAGTTAAAACACGTCTCTGCTTACATTCTATGCCCAAAAATAATGTTGTAATTCATATTAGTTTCCCTGCAGTCCCCGTGGCGTAGTGGGAAGACACTCGTCTGGCGTTTCGTGAGCTCTTAGACCTGTGTTCGTATCCTGGCCGGGGAGGATTTACTTGACGCCAATCCTTAACTGTAGCCTCTGTTTACACGACAGTAAAATGGGTATCTGGTTGTTAAACGATTTGGCGGGTCGTTTTCCGTGGCATATTAGGATTAAGAACTTACCCGAAACTCTATGCGTGCTAGTGGCTGTACAACAGGTCGCACTGCAGTAGCCTGTAGAATATACAAAGACAACATGTACACAGACTACAAGTGTGAGACTCAATAACTGGTTTAGCTCCACACATGTAGAATTAGCTGCACTACAACTGGCCACTAACGCACTGAAGAACAGTGGAGGAGTAATTTTCTCTGATTCAAAGTCAGCTCTTCAGGCCCTTAAAATCTCAACATGCAAAATAGACACTAGGAATGTTGTAAAATCCATTATAAACAACATTATTAATGCAAAGAGCAAGAGTTTCAGAGTCTCATTTGTATGAATACCATCTCACATAGGTATCGTCCAGCATGACGACACATGCAGCTAAAACTGCATATGATAAGCCTGAAGTTGAGTTGGATATGGGTATTCCAATTTCTGTCGTAAAAGCCGCAATATTTCAGGAAATTAGGGAAGACAGAAGAGCAGTCACTAGCACACAAAATGCCAGAAAGCACAAGTGTAAAGAGCTATGACATGTTTAGAACGGAGAATTGTATGTACGGGCAGCATAAAACATCAACTAGACAGTGTGACATTGTAATTGCCAGAATTAGGCTGGGATATTGGTATCTATGGCAGGTGGCTGCAGGTAATGAATCTCCCAATGGTGAACATTCCAATTGTAAACTATGTGAACAAGAGCTGGGACACTCCCCAACACTATATCTGTGATTGCCCTGTTATAAGTGACTTCGGACCTAATGGTATGAGGTACTTTGAGTTCTGTAATTACTTTATACACTCAGGAATATTGGAAGATATTCTTATGCTGTACCCAGATTTTGCTAGTGGGGGCTAATAGATCAGCCTTACATTTTATGTTCTCACCTGATTTTTAGTCATAGTTGATTTGTTTTTGTATTGAGGCTGGTCTTTTCTTCCCCTGATTCCATGTATGACTAACCATCCTGTGAGATGGGAATAATAGTTGAACCTATAGCTAGTTCTTGATCTACACTGTGTAATATCTCCTATAGGATAGGGTAGCAGCACATTACTGTGTATACCTAATTTTGCTCATTAAAAAAATGAATGTAAGAACTCCTGTATATATAAATAAATACAAATAATTCATAATAATAATATTATTATATTGTATTAACACATACTTTTCTAATTTAAAAAAAAAATATATATAATAATGCAATGTAGCAATTCCAAAAAGTTATTTAAATTAGGAAGGTAACTTAGATTTTTATTGAGGAAGTGTGTAACAAGGTCATTTTGAATATGGATCGCTGGTAGGAATAGGCTCTGGAGGCGTTCGCTGCTGGTGTTGCTCTGAAGGACATCAACAACACGGATATCAACAAACGTCACATGGGTCAAAGAAAATGGGATATTCAAGAATTTTGATATTATGGTTTTCCTATTTCAATTTTTGTGACCCTTTTGCCACCGATTGTAAAATAGTTGGTAGTAGTGAAATTCTCGATATTATGGTTTGGTTTCTATTAGAGTTCGTTAGTGATTATTCTTGAACGGTACTTTAAACATGCCGCTAATACCATGCAGGTACAACATTTGTATCTGTATTGCAATCTAAATATAGATGTAACAGATTTTGTTTAATTCACAGCATAATATAATTCATAATATATGCATGAATCCATTACACTTAAATTAGTTTAAAGATCACTGTTATTATTATTATTTTGTTTTGCAAGGTGTATGGACATCGCCATCTTGTTATTGTAGAGTAGAGTTGCAGAAGGAGGCGTGAACCGCTGAATAATGTCTGCTGCTCCTGGCATTGACCAGTTGATGTCTTAAGGCAGCTGGATCACTCAGTAGCACTGCTTTCCGTGTCCTCATCTTGCTCCCAAGTTGCTACTCTCTTCAGTAACGGGGTAATCAAGTCTTCCCCAGAGGGCTATTTTCGGACCTGTTTATCGCCGTTTAGGAGGTAATTGGCATGCCAGGAGTTATAATTTGGGCGATGTTGAGGGGAGGTGTGGGTGTAGGTCCCTGGTCGAGGCATGGCATTAAACCACCCTGGACATCAATCATAAGCAGAACATTGTCATGTTTAGAATGAACATTTATTCATCCTAAACATAACCTCACTCCACACATTCTCTTGTGCCATCTACATTTACAAAACCCTGTTCTTAAATGCAAACCCTGCCTTGAAACTCTCCCTGGACAGATGTAATAGGACGCATTATCACCACACCAGAAATAAATATCTCTTTGATATCCCCAGAGTCAAACTTAATCTGCGTAAACACTATACAAATAAAGGGACCTAGTCTGTGGAATTTACTCCCTAATGAATTGAAAAGCTGTCCATCTTTTGCCTCAATCAAAAACAAAAAGTACCTAATTTCATCTTCATAGTTTCCTACCTTGTGCTGTAACATTGTATTGTATTTAGTGCTACCCAATCTCCCAATCTTTGTGTATCTAATCCAAACAACTTTACCATTGTGATCATTGCTGTCTTCTTATATGTGCTATCAATGTGCTTTATTGTGCCTATTAATCTTTGTCAACTTATCAATCAAGCTGTCAGTGCTATCAATCAGAGCTATCAATGTGCTTTAATATACATACTAATCTCTCACAATTTTTTCCTACAATGTACCTGTTAACATTCTATAAATTTTGTTAGAATTTACCTACTTAATATTATCTGTTAGTTAGATTAACTCCTGCACTGCACACCTATTTTTGTCAAAAATTTCATGGTGCAGTTAAGGGTATAATTTTGTTGTTTTTATAAACGTTCAGCTAATGTTATTTTTAAAATGTTTCTAAACTCAATCATTTTCATTTCAAATCACAAACAGCAATGAAAACATTAAAAAAAACTTATAATATGGCCTAATTAAAAAAAAATCACACAACCCTCAGAGCGACATTTGTTGCTTGGTGCAATGCAGTGGTTAAGGACCTGCCCGAAGTGCTGTGCGTACTAGTGACTTTACAAGAATGTAAACACAATGCTATGTACTCTCTCAAACCCAATGTACCTTCTTGTATATATATAAATAAATAAATAACATTACACATCATGGCATCAATCAACACCTCCACAGCGGATATTATTTAATGAATTTATCAGTGGCTTTATCACTGATATCGTCACAAAGCTGTAAGAAAGTGTTGTGTATTTTTGTAAATTAAAACGTATTTCTTATTTTAAGAATACACAAATTTATTCTATTATAAAATGCTTGATAATGTGAAAATGTGACCCCCGTACTATCAGGATGGGGGGGGGGGCTCCTCTCACTTAATGCATCTGTTCACCTAGAAGTAAATAGGTACCCAGGAGTTAGCTTGTTGTGGGGTTGCATCCTGGGGAGGATCAATAATTTAACCTTTAGTGGGGATCTCGCTATATGCTTGAGATAAGATCAGATAAGATGTTTCTTTAGATAAAGGTACCTACTGTACATTGAAAATGAGTTACAAATATAATGTTGGATTTATAGATAGAGCTAGTACATACAATGCCTGAAGCCACTAATACGCACATCGTTTCAGGCAAGTTGAGGGAAAAAAACGTAGACTTAAACTTAATACTAATTGAGATCAAAAGCATAAATTAAATTGAAAAAATTTAAAATAAAAAAGAATGGTACTAATTACATGATGGATGGAACAGCAAAAGAAATTTTAACTAAAAAAACAGATCACAATTTTCTTTTAAGTTTATACATGGCAGGTATCAGCAGTTAAAAAAGTTTGTCAATAATCAATATTGTTTGAAAATAGCAAGACATAGGTTGACATTTAGGAGGCAAGGTAGGTTACATGGAGTTTATTAGGGAGTACTTAGTTTTTCTCTTAAATTGGTTTTCTAATTGGTTGTTAACATGTATATATACACTGGCTGCCTGTCCCCCAACAAAATTAATTATGTGAAGTAATAATGTGCAGTGTACAATAGTTTGGGGCTTGGTTGTAAAATTATTGGTGAATTGTTTTTAGTTAAAACATTGTGAATAACTTTAAAGGTTCTGGCACTTACTCCGAAGCTTAATACCAACTCTTATAATCCTGGTCTCGACAGTTTTGATATAACTAAATGTTTCCAAATTTGATGATTTTTTGTTTAAATCACAAAGCGAGATAAATATTCTTCAGCGTATATTAAAATGTGAATTATTATATCAATACCCAAATGTAATTTGCTCACGTTGATGCAGTTGCTCTTATTTCAGGTAGCAATGGCTGCAGTTAGCAGTGAGCAGCAACTTCGCTTCCGTTGGAATGATCACATGCAACATGTGTCTAAGGTAAAGTGCAACGTACCAAATTTGTTAAAGTTAGATAAATGTGTAGTCTATTGGACTGATTAAATACTAGTTCCAGTTACTCTTTATTAAAAGTATTTGGAATGTTTCCTACATATATAAGAATATATATTTAAAAAATATAAGTAAGTCTTCTCACATAATTTTCATTATGACAGTGGTCATAATAATGCCTCCTCAGTTTCCTTCATAAATTATTATACTTTTCATGGACCTTATATGAGATGCACTATACTAGTAATATGGTCTCTCACACACACACAATCATATTCTTCCTACAGGTCCTTATACTGCAGAGATTAGAGGAACAGTTTTGTGATGTGACATTGGTTTCTGAAGATGGTTTTGTTATGAAAGCCCATCAGGCTATCCTGGCATCCACCTCGGCATATTTTCAGCGGGTTCTTTCAGAAGTGACATCGGATCAGTATCCAATGATAGTGCTGCGAGGAGCTAATTTCCGTGAAGTTAGTTGTTTACTGGACTACATGTACCAGGGAAATACACAGGTGAGTATTTTTACTACCGTACATAAAGTTAAATCACCAGAAAGTGAGTTCGTCACTCCATTACCTTAAAATGATTTTCATAGTTTGCCTTGTTAACTAATTTCCTCGCAAATTTGTTTTACAGCACTTAAGCTTTCTGGGATTTTCTCTCGGTTTTGGGTTGATCTTTGATCCTAAGTTCCTTTCTCCTTGTTGAGAGTGCCAGACTCTCGTCATGACTCCCAGTTGGCAAGGGTGGATTTCGGTGGCCTGGGGCATCTTCCTAAGGCTTAGCTGGGCCAGCATTCATCTCGGGTCACTGCCAAGGGCCTCCACCAAAATAAGGATTTGCTTGCATTTTTTGCATCATTTTTTATTGGATGATGATGTTATTCTTTCACTGTATTACCGAATACTGTATTTCTTTTTAGTTAATTCCTTCCCACCCCATGAAAGTAGGAAATATATATATATATGCATACTGATATTTTTTTCTTTTCCTCTGTAGGTGGATCACAGCTTAATGGAGAGAGTATTGGAAGTAGCAGATATGTTAGAAGTGAAAGGTTTATCAAGAATACGGTCCAATATCTCTATAAAAAAGTTCATGGGTCCTGCTGCATCTCCAGATAACTCGAATGCTCCCTCATTAAATATGCCTTGCACAGATAACCCAAGAGGAAGCTCTAGATCCCCTGAGGAACAGTTCTACTGTGGAAACCAAACTGATAACAGAACCACAGATACAGAAAGTGCAGAAATGAGGTTAACAAGTAATACGTGTGAGATCAGGAGTGCTAGAGAAACCCCACACCTACCAGGAGATGGACCACATATAACACATACACAGCCTCAGCCACATAACTCTCATCATGAAGCAGAACCTCAGGACGATGATGACGTAACTCAGACATCTGGCATTGATCTGTCAATGGCTAAAAATGAGCCGTGGTCACCAAGGGAGGGGGAGGCTTTAGCTGCTCAAAAAGAAGACACTGATGGTGATGAATCTTCTTCAAAGAAGAGAAAGCACGTAAGATTGATGGTTTAACTTGTTGATTTTAGAATGTTCAGTAAGTACCAGTCCTCCAGGCACTACCTTCTGGCAAATCATCACAGCTCTCAACCTGATCGTCTCAAATTTTCATTAAATTTGGTAGATGCTATCCTATCATGATGATGCTCTTCAAAGAGCTTAATATGCAATGGTAGGATGCTAGTGTACATGAATTAACATATGCAAAATGTTTCCTTCTGTGAGGCATGATATTCATACAGCTGTGTTGCCAATGTGATACAAAATATAAATTTTGCTTACAAACTCGACAAAAAACAACATAATTTTGGCTTCTAATTGAGGTAGACTCTTCATGTTGGGCTTATTCTGTAGCTAAGGAAATAGTTTTATTCAAAAGTTTTAGATTAAATATTGAATTTTTCAATCTCAAGATCACATGTGACCTTTGACCTTGAATATATTAAAACGTGCATCTTTAATTATTTTTTTTTGGGGGGGGGAGGGGGAGGAAATAGTAGTTTTACCTCCTTGGTAAAAGTTTCATTTTTGGATGACTTTGAGAACAAAGAGTAACAAAATATAATAATATACAAGAATGTAACAACTCTTGTATATATCTCAAAAAAAAAAAAAAAATAATAAAAAAAATAAAGAATAGGTGTATAGTAATAAAACACTTGCACCAAACATGGAAAAAACTTTTCAAACTTGGTACTCCACAAAGTTAATTTTGGGATTCTAGCTGAGTGGCACTTCTTTGTTATATCTCATGTTATGGAATGTGTGTGAACTGTAAAGAGGTTAGCAGCTAGGCCAAGTTTACAATATATCTATACTGACCCAGTTATGACTCCAGGACAGTTGCTTAACAAGGCAAAAGAATATTATGAATATGAACTTTACATGTGTGTGTCAACAAGAAATAATTGAGAATGAGAAGTTGCTACACACAGGACATGAAGCTAGGCCAGTACCTGAAACTTAAACATTTTATGCTCTCATACTAGGAGCAAGTAATTGGATGAATAAAAACTAAGTTTTCTACAGAAACAACTCATGAAGTGCAGCAAACAAATATCTCGCATGAAACATTGTCCTTGAAAGAAATAAAAGGTTTTGTGACTTGCATCTATAATGATACCTGGTGGTTAGGTATCATGAATGTGAACGCAAAATCACAGGAGGTTTTGATCAGTTTCCTACACCCCAATGTCTTATCTCCATCATATGTGCATCCTCACTAGCCAGATATATTGAGTATTTTGATAAAACAAGTTCTCACTGAGGTTGATACACATACTGCAACTATACGAACTTTTATTTAACCATTGTGCTGCTCGCCTTCCAGATATGGCAAACCCCCCCCCCCCCCCTGGTGCAGGAAATAAATTCTCAGGAAAAAATTCTTATTGTTTTTGAAAATGTTAAATACCCTTCCCTGATCACAGATATGTAAAAAAAAAAAATGAAATTGTACTTACTTTGACCGCAATAGGGTCCGGAAAATGGCGTGTGACGTCACGATTTGGTGGTCACCCCCCCCTCCCCGCTCAGCTCGTTGTCGCCGTGTGGGGGCTTAGTGGGCGGCTGCCGGAGTGTGATGCTCCTTGGGACAGTCCTCTGTCCTTTTCTAGCCTTGTGCTCCTGCTGCCGTCCTCTCCAATTTTGCTGGGCATCTTTTCCTTTTCCTTCTGTTTCGTTTTTCTCCCCCCTCTTCTCCTATCTGCTTGCCGTTTCCTGCCGACCTTTTGCTCGTTCTGGTTCTTCCCTTGGACTTCTTCTATTTTGACGCCCGGGTGCTTGAGGAGGCATACTCTTGCACCCGTAGAACTGCAGTACCCAACGTCGAGAGCGAGGGGAACCTTTTATTGTCAATCCCCACTTCGTCACTGAACCCGATCTCGACGGACTGTCGGTTTCTTAAGGTGGCGTTTGTGGGGCGTATACTCACGACGCACCCCTAGGAGGCCCCGACAAGATCGGCGATAGCTTCTTGTTGGGTGTCCTGCCTCTAATTGTGGCTCCATGGTGGGTGTGGGGGCACATTCGTGAATGAATTCTTCTTTTCGTCAAGATGATAACCCCTGTTTCGGCTTCTTCTGGTTTACCTTCTCAGGCTCGTGGGGTGGGCGACCAAGCCCCCGAGTCGGTCCGTATTGGAAGACCGGGCTCTGTAGCCTCCGCTGCATTGGGCCCCGACCTTGCTCCTCCTTTGGCCTCTCTGACTCCTTCCCCTGGCTCCCCTCCCTCCTCTGTGGTTGGGTCGAGCCCCAAGCCCCCAGTGGTGACTACCTCGTCCCCTGACGCGGCTCCTTCTCTCATTGTAACTACTGCGCCTTTTAACCCCTCTCTCTCTGGGGGTTCTCACCGCCGTCCTCGTCACGGCCGCCCTCGCTCGATTCCTTCCAGTTCTGCTACCTATCAAGCCTTGTTTGGTCCCGCTTCGTGGGCCAAATATTTTGATCTCCTCCCTCTTGATTCTGCGCCTCCTGACGATTTCTCCCTCCATCGACATCTCATTGATTCCGTGGATGCCTCCATTACTTTCAACCCCACTCGTCTCGGTACACGTGTCGTTGCTGCTCCTTCTCAGGATGCTGCTTCCCGCTTGGCTGCCTTATCCTGCCTTGGCGAGACCCCCGTTCGGGTCTCGAAGAACGCTCAGTTGAATGCCAGTGTTGGCACTATTTTGCTCCCGCCCCATGTTGCGACCGGTGTTCGGGACCTGCGCGACTGCCACGACGATATTCGACATATCCTCGCTGCCCAGGGCCATTCTATTCTCCAGGTGGACACGTTTACTTGTCCCCCTCGTGGTAGTCGCCGTCAACCCCTCCGGGTTGTGAAGATTACCTTTGATGGTAGGACCCTTCCACCCTCTCATTCTTGCTGGTGCCAGGTGCTCTGTCCAGGAGTACATTCCTTCTCCTCGGCTCTGCAACAAGTGCTGGAGGTTTGGGCATGGTGCCCTCCGCTGCTCCGGGACTGTCTCTCTCTGTCCTTTGTGTGGTGGCGAAGGTCACTCTAAGTCGGAGTGCGCTTCTCCCCAGGCTCGTTGCCTCAACTGCGGTGAGGCCCATCCTACCTTCTCCCGTGCGTGTGTCCATTACAAGCTTGAGGCAGCCGTCCTCAACTTGAAGCACCGGGAACGTTTATCTTTAACTGAGGCGAGGCGCCAGGTTCGCCGGCTCCCGCCTTATGCTAATATCTCTTATGCTCGCGTGTTGCGCTCTTCCTCTCCTCGTCCTTCCCGCCTTCCTCAGACTCACAACCGTTTCCGGGCCTTGGACCCTGATGCGCCCACTGCCCCCTCCTCTGTCCCTTTGGGTTCTCTCCCGAAGGATCCTCCTCCTGGTCCTCTGTCTGGGGTTCCCCTTCCTTCTACCCGGTCTGTCGTGTCTTCTGTGTCTTCTTCCTCGTCCCCCTCCGATCCTCCTTCCCATCCTCTTCCTCCATCTATCGGCTCTCCCCACCGCCTGTCGGTGCGGGCGGATGTCCATCGCTCTCCTAACGGCCGTCGTGTGTGCTCTCGTTCGGCTTCTCCTGTTGAGACACTGGAATCCGTTGCCCGGTACGTAGTTGCTGGGACACCGGTCTCTTTAAGTCAGAAGCGTAAGCCTGGCTCCTCTCCTTCCTCTTCCCCAGCGGGTAAGAAGGCTTCGCTTTCTTCCTCAGCTCCTCCTTCTGGCTCTGTTGCTCCTTCCCCTCCCGTTTCAGTGCTTGCGCCCCCTGTTCCGGCTATGGAGGTTTCTTTGGCCCCTGCTTCCCTTTCGGTTGCTGCTCTTGCTGGGGTGCGCTCCCCTCTTTCTACTCCCCCTCTTCCTGCTGCTGTCCTTGACTGCTCCTCTCCGTTGTCTCCTCCTCCTCCGGACCCTGCCCGCCCACCTCTGATCTGTTCTCCCGTTTCCTTCCCTCCGTCTTTGCTCAGTTTACCCATGCCCCCTAACCCTGACTTTGCTGACCCTGATCCCGACCCTGATATTCTTTAACGTGCTCTGTTGCTCTTTCGCCTTTGTTTCTTCCTTGTTCTCTGTTTTTGTCCTTTCTCTTCTCGTCGTTGTCCATTCTTCAATGGAACGTTCGAGGTTATTACGCCAATTTCCTCGAACTCCAACTTCTGATTTCGCGGTTTTCGCCCCTTTGTGTCTGTCTCCAGGAGCCAGTGCTTGGTGCTCGTCCTGGTCGTTTTCGTGGCTATTCCTTTCTCTCCCCCCCCCCCCCCAGCCATTGCTGGGGCTTCTAATTCTTCTGCTCTCTTGATTCGGGCTGATGTTCCCTTTGTTCCTTTACTTTTTCCTTCGCCTCTCCATTGTTCTGCTGCTCGTATCTTTGTGGGGAAATGGTACACAGTTTGTTCCATTTATCTCCCCCCGAGTGTCCCGCTCTCTCTTCCTGATTTGAAACACCTCCTAGACTCCTTGCCGGAGCCTGTGCTCCTGCTGGGTGACTTCAATTGTCGTCATTCTCTTTGGGGTGACGTTCTGACGAATACCCGGGGTCGCCTCCTTGAGCCGTTTCTCCTCTCTTCTTCCCTGTCTCTTCTGAATTCTGGTGAGCCCACTCATTTGGACTCTCGGACTCGCACCCTTTCTTGTCTTGATCTTTCTCTCTGCTCTTCTTCTCTTTACTTAGATTTCACGTGGCAGGTTCTTGATGACCTCCATGGAAGTGATCATTTCCCCATCCTTGTTTCCTTTTTCTCTTTTCGCCCTTCCCTCTCTTTCCCTAGGTGGCAGTTTGCTAAGGCGGACTGGACCCTATTTTCCCTCAGTGCTACTCTCTCTGACCTCTCCCTTCTGCCCCTCTCTCGCGCTCTCCTCCTTTTTCATGACACTGTCTTCAACGCTGCCCTCCGCTCTATTCCTCGCTCTTCCTCTCGGGGTCCACGGAAGTGCGTTCCCTGGTGGAATGCGGACTGTGCTCGGGCTGTCCGCTGTAAGCGTGCAGCCTGGAAGAGGCACCGCCGTAGGCAGACGACCGATTCTTTTCTTTTCTTTCGGAAAGCGAGTGCGGTG